AAGGAATTGAAAAAAAAAAAAAATTCAAGCCTCGGGCTGCAGTAATGCAGGATTCTATGACCAACACAGAATGCTGGTGTGGCTCAGTAGGTTAATGCCCTGGACTGCAAAGTTGATTTGAACCACAGGTCAGCAGTTCAGGCTCACCAGCCACTCATTGAAACCCTATACAGGGTCACTATGGGTTGGAACCTACTCAAAAACATTTAACAACAATGGTCAAAATGGGAGTATGGTGGCTCTGTGGATAAACACTGGACTGTGAATCACAAGATCAGTGGTTTGAGCCCACTAGCTGCTCCTTAGAAGAAAAATGAGGCTTTCTGCTCTCACAAAGACTTACAACCTCAGAAATCCTATACAGGGTTTCTATGAGTCAAAACCAACTCAACAGCACTTAACATCAACAACATAATGGACAATATGTTGAATGATGCAGGAAGCATCAAAAGATGGAAGGAATACACAAAGACATTGTATCAAGAAGGACTGATTGATGTTTAGCTATTTCAAGAGGTACCATATGATCATGAACTAATGATATTAAAGAAGTCCAAGCTGCAGTGAGGACATTGATGAAAAACAAGCCTCTAGGAATTGATGAAATACAAATGGAAATGTTCCATCAACTTGATGCAGTGCTGGAGGAACTCAATCATCTATACCATGAAATTTGTAAGACAGTTACCTGGTCAAATGATTGGAAGAGATTCATATTTGTGCCAATTCCAAAGAAAGGTGACATGACACAATGTTTAAATCATCAAACGATATTCATTAATATCAAATGCAAGTAAAATTTTGCTGAAGATTATTTAAAAATTGTTGCAACACTACATAGACAGGGAGCTGCCAGAAATTCAAACCAGAGTCTAAAGAAGACACGGCACTAGGGCTATCACTGCTGACATTTGATGGATCTTAACTGAATATACCCGAAAGATGTTTACATATGTTTTATTGACTATGCCAATACATTCGATTGTGTAGATCACAACAAACTATGGATAACATTGAGAAAGAATGAGAATTCCAGAACACATAATTGTGCTCATGAGGAACCTGTACATAGATCAAGAGGCAGTGATTCAAACAGAACATGGGGATATTGAATGGTTTAAAATCAGGAAAGGTGCCAAGGTTGTTTCCTTTTACCGTACTTATTCACTCTGTATGCTGAGCAAATAATCAGAGAAGCTGAATTATATGAAGAAGACTGAGACATCAAGATTTGAGGAAGACTCTTTAACAACTTGTAATATGCAGATGATATAACTTTGCTTGATGAAATACTTACTGATGAAGATCAAAGAGTCTTCCATACAGATTGCATCTCAGTGTAAAGAAAATGAGAATCCTCACAGTTTACAACATCATGATAACCTGAGAAAAGATTGAAGTTGTCAAAGACTTCATTTGCTTGGATCCATAATCAAAACTCCTGGAAGCAATAGTCAAGAGATCAAATGATGTATTGCATTAGGCAAATATGCTGCAAAAGAGCTCTTTAAAGTGTTAAAGAGCAAAGATGTCAGTTTTAGGACTACGGTTGGCCTGACTCAAGTCATGATATGTTCAGTTGCCTCATATGTATGTGAAAGTTGGATCATGTATAACAAAGACTGTGGAAGAATCGATGCATTTGAATTATGGTGTTGGTGAAGAATGTTGAAAGTACCATGGACTTCCAGAAGAACAAACAAATTTGTCTTTCAGAAGTACAGCCGGAATACGCCTTAGAATCAACTATGGCAAGTCTTTGACTCTCCTACTTGGACAAGTTGTCAGGAGGGACCCTGGAGAAGGACATCATGCTTGGTAAAGTACAGGGTCAGTGAAAAGCAGGAAGACCCTCAACGAGATGGATTGACAGAGTGACAGCAATAATTGGCTCAAAGATAACAGTGATGAGGATGGCCGAAGACCAGGTAGTGTTTTTATTTTGTTGTGTATAGGGTTGATATGAGTTAATGGCATCTAATAACAGTGCTTAAAAAAAAAAAACTGGCACATAGAAGGAACTTCATATTTATTTGCTGAAACAAAAATAATTCAACTATCTGACAAAAAAAAAAAAAAAGATATATTTATACCTATATGGTGTGGCACTGCAGGATAATGCACTGGACTGAAAGATCAGTTTGAGCCACAAGGTTGGCGGTTCAAACCCACCAGCCGCTCCTTGGAAACCCTATAAAGGGTTGCTATAAATCGGAACTGACTTGACGGCACTTAACAACAACATGAAGAGAAAATTGCAGCTCAGTGGTCACTGCCAAAGGTTATACACAATACCCGCTGGCTGAGGGAGGAGTGAGTCCTGAAATCCAGCCAGTTTTTCACAGGCAGAGGTGGGCCCTGGCACACAGGCACCTGCCCAGAGGGTGTTGTCCTTGAATTAATTCATACAAGGGAGCAGCTGAAGTGATATTTGAATTTCACAAGAATTGTTTTTCATGTGGAGGTCTGTATGTTTTGGGGCAATCAAGGGTACACACAAGCTTGCATACAGACATACATACTCTAAGGTAAATTATTTCTAAAACTTTCTCAGGTACAGAAGTAGAAGACTTAGAGAGACATTATTACATGTATAGTTGTTCTTGCAGTCCAATGAAGCAATGTCCTTGGAATAGATTTCTTTAGATGAATTCTTGTTGGGGGCAGTGTGGTTGGTAGCATCTTAACTATTTTGTTTAATGACTTTTTTTGTTGGTCGGCATTATTTCTTTCTTTTCGGACCATGGGCTTTGCACTTTCTCTTTTTAATACTTCTGGGAATAGGGATGGCTTTGAGCTTTTCTCAACTTCTAAAACCTTATACTTAAAAGATTGTGATTCAGGGCCAGTGACATATTTTCCAGTAGGTGTTTTAAAATGAATTGGCATCTCTCGCTTGTATTCTGCAAATGTTACTGAATGTTGTTTTTTATTGTTGTTATTACTTCCTTTCCATCTCTGACAATACTGGTCTTCTAATTTTGATGTCCCCCCAACCTCTGTGGTGAAATGACTTAAAGGGTGGCTCTGCCATGAGGGAAAAGTGACTCTGTTTAAGGGCTCTTCATCTTCAGCTAGCGTATTGTAACGAGGAATTCTTGGATACCGTGACATTCCTGCTTCAGGTTTTCCCTGTACAGTCAGTTTATATATGTTCATATGATCCTTTTTTTCAATGGAATTCATTTTCAGTGTCCTTTCAAAGAAAGTGTTTGATTGAATTATTTTATTATCCCAACTATATGGGTCTTGAGACTCTATTTTAAAAACAGAATTTTCTGCTCCAGGAAGCTGAATGAACTCATGTTCTTTCCTTTGATGCTTAAACATTGTATCAGTAAGTTTTTCTGAAGACTTATTTAATGGAACTATCTGGGTGTTTTTGTTAGAACAAGGTTGCACTTTTATAAAACTTGCTCTAGTCGCTCCTTCTTTGCAGCAGTATCTTTTCTGTTCCATAATTTTTGATACATTTTCTTTAGTATTGTGCAAAGGAAAATACTCTTTTTCTTCTTTTCTGATCAGTTCTGTTTCTACAAGTCTATCCTCAGGTCTCTTGTGTAAAGTGGTTTTTTGAGCAATTTTTAAATATTTATTTTGCTTCTCTAAGTGCTCCTCCATAAAGTTATTTTCATCTCTAAAACATAAATCTGTCTGTATACATTTTAACGGTCTGGAACTGGAATTGATCAAATTTATTTGCTGGCTGATGTCCTCCAATTGCCTCTTTGTGATGAGTCCAGATTTTGAAAGTTTTTCTAAAAAAAGGCTTTGGAGGTGTTTTCTTAAACCAAGTTTTATATTTAATAGTTCATTTTCTGATGAAGCTCTAAGATAATTTTGTAGGGATTTATTCAAAGGATATATCGTGTTTACTTTAAACCTTCTGCCAAAACCATCTCCTGAAATATCTTGTCCAGAGTCATGTACAGAAATTGAGGCACTTTCAGTACTTAGGTTAGAAGTGTTTAAGTGCATACTCCTAGACTCTGTGTCTTTAAATAACTTGTGTCCCGAAAGGTTTTCTCGGAAGTAGTTTTTGAGAATTTCACTTAAAAATGACTTTAGTTTTATTTCTAAATGTTTATCTATGAAATGATGATGAAAGTTATTTAAAAAAGACATGATTTCATTCACAGCTTCTGAATATTTCCCCGGAAACATGTTTTGCCTTCCTGGTTCTGAATTCTCATTCATCAAATACAGATTTTGATAGATTTTTGGTAAGTCCTTCTTGGTGATGTGTCCCAATTCTGAAAGTCTTTCTACAAGGTAGTGTTGGATATGTTTACTTAGTTCAGACTTAAAATCTTTTATTTCTGAATCTGAGAGTTCCTCTAGAAATACGCAAAGCTTTGGATTCAAAATAGGTTTTCTGTCTAATTTGTCTGCTTGGTCAAAATTCTCTCTGATTTCTTCAAGGTCTTCTGTATCATTTGTGAAAGAATATTGCATTAGTCTTTGTAAATCTCTTTCTGGTTGTCCCTTTCCTTTAGATTGATTGTATTTGAAAAAAACATCTAAAATGTGTTTAAAAAAGGATTTTAGTATTATTGTACCTGATTCATTGAGCTTATCCATTAATGAGTTGCTTAAATTTTCCAAAGTAGTTTTAAGATCATTTTCTTCTTTATAAAACCCCTGACCATTCAATGGCAACTCTGTTTCTATATCTGGTATTGAATGATATTTTGAATCTTTTGGGGGTAAGTTTTGATCTTCTTCTAGAAAACGAACTGTATTGAGAACACAAGTGGTGTGTTTGGGAGTGTGGTCTGAAAGAGGTTTGGTTTTTCTTTTGATTTTGGAATATTCCTCTGTGGAATAATTTGACTTTTCTTCAGGAGTGCCTTTCTCTGAACCCACTGAAGAACTCACCTGGTGTTCCTTATCTATCACTTTGTTTAGCCCATATTCTAAAAGAGTATCTTCAGGAAATGCTTGCATTATCTGGTTGATAGCAGATTTGGACTGTGACAATTCTTTTTCATCATCTTTTTTTTCACAATGATCCCCACTATTCGAAGATAAGATTCTCTCCAAAGTTGTGGGTAATTGATCCTGATTATTCAGTTTTTTCCCACTGTGCTCTTTAACTTCTTTCTCCAACTCTGGCAAGATCTTTGCGGTGAATAGTTGCTTTATAACACAGTCCTGTACGGTTGTATCTACATTTGCAGCCACTAAATCTTTCACAGAACTATGTTCCGTTTCTACCGCTATTGATTTTCCTGATCCACCTTCTGAAAGTGAATCCAAAGACATGACTTTAGTTATTTGACATAAACTAGACTTTGAATTTAAAACATCTTTTTCTAGAAGCCAGCTTTCTAAGTCTTGAAAATTTTCAAATATTTCGTCTTCCAAACTACTTAATAATTTATTATGAACACTTAGGAATGGAGATCTATAGCTTTTCTTGCTTGATTGAATGTCCAGAGGAACTTCTAGATTAGAAAATAACTGTTCTAGGAGATCTTTCAGGTTTTTATTTAAAATTGACTTAAGCACCATGGGTTGTTTTTGATTTTCAGTATGGGAGGTAAGTGGCTTTGAGAGGTGACTTGTAGTCACATTTACAGATGTTGATGATTCTTCTTCAGAACTTGGTAAAGATACATTTGGTAGTCTTTCTTTTAACTTAGTATGTAAAGGTTTTATTGTAACAACGTCAGGATCATGAGCCCAGATTTTATTAGAAGGTCCTGCAGCTTTTGAATGTGCAGGGTAAGGAGGATCTTGGTCTTCATGCTCTATAACCTCTGCATTGGAAATGTTTCTACATTTGGACATATCTTCATCTTTCTTTTTTCTAATTGACATTTTGTGGTTTATATTTTGTAGAAAAGCATCAAAATTGTCCTGGATGTTCAAGGTCTTGAACTGTAACATTAAAGAAAAAGATAAGAAATTCTGTAATATTTATCTTATATATATAATAATTTTCAAGTTAATTTTCATTGAGCAGTCTGTCAATGTATCTACTCAGCCAATAACAATCTATAAAGAGAGGAAAACCAATTTTAATTTTGAAAAAATATTTGAAGTTGAAATAAAAATGCAGAATTTTCTCTAACTTATCATTTTAACACTATAATTGTCCATGTCCACCACTTGTCTGTCAGTTTGTTGTATTGTGGTGGCTTGCTTGTTGCTGTGATTCTGCAAACTATGCCACCAGTATTTTAAATACCACTAGGGTAAAACATGGAGTCCTGGTGTGGTGCTGTGGGCTAATGCGTCAAACTGCAAAGTCGTTTGAACTGCAAGGTCAGTGATTCAAGCTCACCAGCTGCTCCTTGGAAACCCTAAAAAACAGGGTCGCTAGGGGTCAAAATTGACTTGACAGAACTTAACAACAACAACAACAGGGTAAACCATAGTGGACAGGTTTTAGATGAACTTCCAGACTAGGAAGAAGGAGAGGTGGACTACTTCTGAATATTTAGTCACCAAAAACCTTATGAATAACATTGGAACACTGTAGCACCAGAATATTGATTATTGAAACATGATGAAGAGCCCCAGATTATTGTCAGTTGTAGTGCCAGAAGATAAGCCCCTCAGGTTGGAAGGCACTCAAAATATGACTGGGGAAGAGTTGCCTTCTCAAAGGAGAGTTGACCATGATTATGAGGGACCTTCATTTGCTGATGAGGCACAACTCATAATGCTGTAAACATCCATTAATAATCAGAACAGGGAATGTATGAAGTATGAATCTAGGGAAAAAATGGAATAGTCAGAAATGAAATGACATGCATTAGCATCAATATTAGTGAGCTGAAATGGACTGGTATTGGCCATTTTGAGTCTGGCAATCATGTGGCTTACTATGCCAGGAATGACAAGTTGAAGAGGAATAGAGTCGCATTCATCATCAAAAAGAACATACCAAGATCTGTCATGAAGTACAACGCTGTCTGTGGTGGTATAATATCCATAGGCATCAAAGGAGAACCAGTTAATACCACTATAATTCAAATTTACTAACCAACCACTAAAGCTGAAATTGAAGAATTCTATCAACTTCTTCATTCTGAAACTGATGAAACATGTAATCAAGATGTATTGATAATTACTGGTGATTGGAATGCAAAACTTGGGAACAAAGAGGAAGGGATCAGTCATTGGAAAATATGAACTTGGTGATAGAAATGATGCTGGAGATTGCATGATAGAATTTTGCAAGACCAATGACTTCTTAATTGCAAATACCTTTTTTAAACAATATAAAAGATGACTATACATATAGACCTCCCCAGATGGAATACACAGAAATCAAATTGACTCCATCTGTGGAAAGAGATGGTGGGAAAGCTCCATATCATCAGCCAGACAAGGCCAGGGGCAGATTGTGGAACAGACTATCAATTGCTCATATGCAAATTCAGATTGAAGTTGAAGAAAATTAAAACAAGCCCATATGAGCCAAATATGACCTTGAATATATCCCACCTGAATTTAGAGATAATCTCAAGAACAGAGACACTAAAGACCAAAGACCAGAAGAATTGTGGAATGACATCAAGAACATCATACAGGAAGAAAATAAGAGGTCATTAAGAAAACAAGAAATATGGAAAAGACCAAAATGAATGTCAGAAGAGACTCTGAGACTTGCTTTTCCGAGTAGAGATGTTAAAGCAAATTTTCTATTTAGCAAAAAAAGCTAAATAGAAATTTTCAAACAGCAACTCGAGAAGATAAATCAAATATTATAACAAAATGTGCAAAGACCTGGAGTTAGAAAACAAAAAGGGAAAAACATGCTCAGCATTTCTCAAGGTGAGGAACCTGAAGAAAAAATTCAAACATTGAAGAATTCTATGGGCATAATATTGCATGTTTCAGAAAGCATCAAAAGAAGATGAAAGGATAACAGAGTCACTGTACCAAAAAGAAATGGTCACTATTCAACCATTTCAAGTGGTAGCATATGATCCAGAGGCAATAATCCTGAAGGAAGTCCAAGGTGCACTGAAATCATTGGCAAAGAACAAGTCACTGGGAATTGATAGAATACAAACCGAAATCTTTTAACAAACTAATACAGTACTGGAGGCACTCACTCATCTAGGCCAAGAAAATTGGCCAGCTGACCAAGAGATCCATATCTATACCCATTCCAAAGAGAGGTGACTCAACAAAATGTGGAAGTCATCAGACAATATCATTAATATCTCACACAAGTAAATTTTTGCTAAAGAGAATCCAAAATCGGCTGCAAGTGTACATTGACAGAGAACTGCCAGAGGTTCAAGCCGGATTCATATGAGGTCGTTATATGAGGGATATCACTGCTGACATTAGATGAGTCTTGACTGAAAGCAGAGAATGCCAGAAAATGTTTACCTGTGCTTTATTGACTACACAAAGTCCTTTGATTGTGTGGATCATGACAAGCTATGGAAAACTTTGCAGAGAATGAGTATTTCAGAACACTTAATTATGCTCATGAGGTGCCTGTACATAGTCTAAGGTATAGTTGTTGAATAGAACTAGGCAACACTGAATGGTTTTAAATTAATAAGGGTCTGTTCTAGGGCTGCATTCTTTCGCCATACTTATTCAGTCTGTATGCTGAGCACATAATCCAAGAAACTGGATTATATGAAGGAAAATGTGGCCTCAGGATTGGAGGAAGACTTATTAATAACCTGTGATATGCAGGTGATACAACTTTGCTTGCTGAAAGTGAAGAGGACTCAAAATACTTACTGATGAAGATCAAAGATTACAGCCTTTGGTATGGGTTGCACCTCAATGTAAAGAAAATAAAAATCCTCAACACTGGATCAATAGACAACATCCATATGTTTTTGTTAGGTGCCACTGAGTCGGTACCAACTCATATGACACTATGTACAACAGAACGAAACACTGTCTGGTCCTGGGTCAACCTCACAATTGTTGCCACGCTTGAGCCCATCAATGCTACCACTTTGTCAATCCATCTCGCTGGGGGTCTTCCTCTTTTTCTCTGACCCTCCACCTTACCAAACATGATGTCCTTCTCCAGCGACTGGTCCCTCCTAACAATATGTAAGAAGTATGAGAGCGAAGTCTGGCCATCCTGGACTCCAAGGAGCCCTCTTGGCTGCATTTGTTGCAACACAGATTTGTTTGTTCTTATGTTAGCCCATAGCACTTTCAATATTCACCTGCAACACCATAACTAAAACACATAAATTCTTCTACGGTCTTCCTTATTCACTGTCCAACTTTCACATGCATATGAGGTTATTGAAAACACCATAGCTTGGGTCAGGCGCACCTTAGTCCTCAAGCTGACATCTTTGCTCTTCAACACTTTAAAAAGGTCTTGTGCAGCAGATTTGCCAAATACAATATTTCATTTGATTTCTTTGACTGCTGCTTCCATGAGTGTTAATAGTTGATCCAAGAAGAATGAAGTCCTTGACAGCTTCAGTCTTTTTTCTGTTGATGAGAATGTTGTTTATTGTTCCAGTGGTGAGGATTTTTGTTTTCTTTACATTGAGATGCAATCCATACCAAAGGCTATGCTCTTTGATTTTCATCAGTAAATATTTTAAATCCTCTTCGCTTTCAGCAAGCAAGGTTGTATCATCTGCATATCACAGGTTGTTAATGAGTCTTCCTCCAATCCTGATGTCACATTTTTCTTCATAGAACCCAGCTTCTTGGATTATTTGCTCAGCATACAGGTTGAATTAGTATGGTGAACGAATACATCCTTGTCACACACGTTTCTTAATTTTAAACCATTCACTATTGCCTTGTTCTGTTTGAATAACTGCCTCTTGGTCCATGTACAGATTCTTCATGAGCACAATTAAGTGTTCTGGAATACTCATATTTTGCAACATTGTCCATAGCTTGTCAGGATCCACACAATCAAAAGCCTTTATGTAGTCAATAAAGCACAGGTAAACATCCTTCTGGTATTCTCTGCTTTCAGCCAAGATCCATCAGACATCAACAATGATATCCCTCATTCCACGTCCTCTTCTGAATCCAGCTTGAACCTCTGAAAGTTCTCTGTCTTCCAGAATCACAGCAACTCACAAGCCACTACAGTATGACAAACTGACAGATGAGTGGTAGAACAGTCATATAAATTTGGAAAAAATTGAAGTTGTCAAATACTTCATTTTGCTCGGATCAACCATCAACACTTATGGAAGCAGCAGTCAAGAAATTAAACAACGTATGTTGTTGTTGTTAAGTGCTGTCAAGTCGATTCTGACCCATAGCAACCCTGTATAGGGTTTCCAAGGAGTGACTGGTGAGCTTGAATTGCCAACCTTGAGAGTCAAACAACTTTGCAGTCTGGCGCATTAAACCCACAGTGCCATACTAGGACTCCAGGTTCTTCAGTAGACACAATTAATTCAGCCTACATTTTTGTTTATAGCTATTGTTAGGTGCCATCGAGTCATTACCAACACATAGTGACTTTATGCACAGCAGAACAAAATATTGCCCAATCCTGGGCCAATCTCACTACTGTTGCCATGCTTGAGAGATGAAGTCTGGCCATTTGATGATAATAATTTGAATATTATTATTCAAATTTATACACCAGCCACTAAAGCCAGTGAGGATGAAATAGAAGAATTCTACCAACTTCTTTAATCTGAAATCTATCAAACATGAAATCAAGATGTATTGATCATTACTGGTGATTGGAAAACCACATATAGCATTAGGCAAATCTGCTGTACAAGACCTCTTTATTGTGTTCAAGAGCAAAGATACAGTTTGAGGACAAAGGTGCACCTGACTTAAGCCATGGTATTTTCAGTAACCTCATATGCATGTGGAAGCTGCACAGTGAATATGGAAGACTGCAGAAGAATGGATACATTTGAGTTATGGTGTTGGAGGAGAATATTAAAAATATCACAGACTGCCAAAAGAACAAACCAATCTGTGTTGGAAGAAGTACAGCCAGAGTGCTCCTTGGAAGCCAGGATGGCCAGATTTCATCTCTCATACTTCAGACATATTACCAGGAAGGGCCAATCCCTCAAGAAAGAGATTGTGTTTGGTAAAGTGGAGGGTCAAAATAAAAGAGGAAGATCCCCAATGAGATGAATTGGCACAGTGGCAGCAGCAATGGGCTTAGTTGTAGTAATGGCTGTGAGGTTGGCCCAGGACTGGGCAGTGTTTCATTCTGTTGTGCATAGGGTCACTATGAGTTGGCACCGACTCAATGGCGCCTGACAACAACAACAACTGACAATTGTGTATGTGCTTTTTGCTGCCTGAAAAAATTTTTAAAAACAATCCATAAATAAATACTTGTGTTTGTGTGTGTGTATTCTGACTGCTTAACTTCTAGCATTAGTTGCATCTGCTTAGGTAGTGGTTAACTTTAGGATCAAAGTCCTATTCATATAAATATTTACTGTTTTAGTTGCAATGTACAATTAAAAAGAAAAAAAGTAAAGCAAGTAGTAGATGCCCCATTAAGCATTGTGAGTAGTATTTAAAGATTGAAGGTTTCAACATTGATGTAGTACTTAGCATGCCACAGTAAAATCATGCTTTTGAACAGTCATTTTGGAAGAAATGGTTAAGAAATAGCAGTACTAAAAAACTCTGTATTACAGTGAAATTTCAGTGTAATCTTCATAGCCAGTTTAGTAGCTCTGAGACCAAGCCATTCTATTAATGAAACAGCCTCCAAAATTCAGTATCTATTCAAACCCTATGTTCATATAATGTCTACATTATCCAATTAAAACAAAATGTAAAATAATCATCTTACTACTCATGTTCATTAATCTCAGTTTGTTGTTGTTAAGTGCAGTTGAGTCGGTGCCGACCCATAGCGACCCTGTATAGGATTTCCTAGGAGCAGCTGGTGAGCTTGAACCACCAGTTCAAATGGCTTTGCAGTCTGGCACATTAACTCACAGTGCCACACCAGGACTCTAACTACTAAATCTCAGTTTAGTAGCTCAAAATTCATTTTAAAAGGCTATAGCTGGCTTTCTGATGCTAGTCAATACCAAGATGATGGCATAAGAATTCCCTACATTTTTTGAGAAACATGGATTCCTAGGTGTTATCTAGGGATGAAGATAGAGTCAAGATAGTAGGTCAATAAAAAAAATTTTTTTTTGATAAAGGAAACGAGTGTAAATTACTGCAGTTTGATGAACTGACCTTTACTTATGGATGTAATAGCTCAAAATATCAACTGAGAAGGAAGGAATCTTCACATCAAGTATCAATCCTATCCTCTATGTATACAGGGTAGATGGGATGGGCAACTTAGGCATTGGCTACCTAAAATGAGGGGATGATAAAGGCATGAAGTGATTTGTTTACAAGTTTTCAAGAGGGAGTTTAGTTTAAGAATGTGTGAGGGTGGTGGGGGGTAGAGATAGAGTCCCCACTGAATAGTTCTCATCTTGTCTAGATGGGTCTGGTGAAAAGAGATGGAGATAAGATTCTCATGATTCTATAGTGAGTAATTGTTATCATGACTAATTGCGGCTGTCACAACTGTAAAGGTAGTTTTGTAACAAAAATAGGGGAGTAGTTAATCTTACAGTCCAGAAACAGAGGACCCTAGGACCATCAAGGGAGAATAACATGAGTAGAATGTGGGACCCTATCCAGAGAAGCAACGACCAGACATGGAGGCAGAGATGAGGACAGAAGAGAGAGAGCAGCTGAGGACTCTGGATTCATGGAAAGAGAGGGACTGACTGCTGGCAGCCAGGAGGCAGGCTTGCAGAATGTGCCCTTTGGTTGTGTAAATTATTAGATATTCCTGAGTGCTTTTGTGTGTATCCCCCCCGCCTCCCCAAAAAACCCAAAAAAACCCAGAGGGAATGGAAGCAAATATTGTTGAATGATGATGCACAGAGGAAATTGTAATCATTGCAATGAAATGATGGTGTAAAGCCAAAGTTCTCCCATGTAAACTATCATTCAGTTCACAATAATAATAATAAAAAATAATAGTAGGTCAAAGGTGGGACCTGAATAAATAAATAAATATATATTTTAAAGATAGCAAAGTGTTTCTAATGGGTCAGCAGGTTTACTGTCCAATTACATTACTGTCCAATTACTTTACTGTCCAATCCATTTCAATCCATGGTGACCCCAGGTATGTCAGAGTAGAACTGTGCTCCAGAGGGTTTTCAATGGCCCTTTTTATTCCTGAAGTACATCACCAGGCCTTTTTCCAATGCACCTCTGGGTGGACTGGGACCTCCAACTTTTCAATTAGCAGTTGAGCATGGGTTAGAGCCATTTGATTATATAAAGTATTGGAGAAACATTAATTAAGTATCAACTGATATTGGGACAGAATACGTTGGGACTCACCGGATACGGTTCATTTTTTTCTGTATGTTTTGGTTTGTGAGATGGTAATGGTGATGGACTCTCTTCTGGTAAAAATAACACCTAAAAAAAAAAAAAAAAGTTTTAATTTTAGGCGACTTGTAATGCAAAAGAATTTCCCAAGATTGTTTTATTTCCTCAACTTTTATCAAAGATACAAAAAACTTTTCATCTAAATATCTTTCTCACAGTAACTACTACTTCACTTTGCAAAGAAATGTGTCTATACATAATCTTTGTTGGTGTTAGCTGCCCAACTCATGGCAACACTATGCACAACAGGATCAAACTATTGTCCATAAGGTTTCCTTTTTTGACTGAGTTTTGGAAGTACATTGTCAGGCCTTTCTTCCTAGTCTGTCTTAGTCTGGAAGCTTCACTGAAGCCTTTCAGCATCACCACCACATACAAGCCTCAACTGACAGACAGGCCATAGCTGTACTTGTGGAGCATTGACCAGGAATTGAACCTCAGTCTCCACCATTTGTTGTTGTTGTTAAGTTCTTTGAGTTGGTTCCAACCCATAGTGACCCTGTATAGGAATTCCAAGGAGTTACTGGTGAGCTTGAACCACTGACCTTGTGATTCAAATGTCTTTGCAGTCCAGTGCATTAACCCACAGCACCACACCAGGACTCCAAGAATTCTGCCACTGACCTACCAATGCCCCCTACACATAATCTGAGCTTCTTTTGTAGTAAAGTATTCACCTTAGCATATTTGAAAAGTAAAAAAAAAAAAAAGTCAAACTGAAACAAATAGAAAAGAAAATGTAATCTGATTTTAAAAAGGTTGTAAAGTATTTTAGATAATAACTGGCAGCCGATATTATATTGAGACAGCATATTCGGTGACTCTCAACCTGTCATTGGTAAATGGTTAATTAAAATTGCTGAAAGAAACTCTTAGTGCTACTAAATCAAGATGTAGAAAAACACTAGCATTACAGATCCATCCAATTTGTAGAGATGAAAGGCACTTCAGCTATACTCCAGTACTACTCTTAATTTTTGGAGTCCTGGCGTGGCACTGTAGGATAAACACTGCACTGTTAACTCAAACCCACTAGCCACTCCTTGAAAACCGTACACATGGTCATCATGAGTGGAATACAACTCCATGGCATTTAAACAACAACAGTGGTAGGATAAACACTTTATTGCTAACTGCAAAGTCAGGTCAGCAGTTCAAACCCATCAGGCACTCCTTGGAAGAAAGATGAGGCTTTCTGCTCCAGTATAGATGTATAGTCTTGGAAAACCTACACTGGTTTGCTATGAGTTGAAATCAACTCAATGGCAATAGGGTTTTGTTTGGTTGGTTTTTGTTTACTCTTTATTTTATATAAGAACCTGAAGCTGAAATTTCTTGTTCTAAATTACCCCAAAGATTCATAGGCTAAATCCTACTGTTGTTGTTAGGTGATGTTGTTGTTGTGTTAGGTGCCATCAAGTTGGTACTGACTCATAGTGACCTTATGCACAGCAGAACGAAACACTGTCCAATCCTGGGCCAACCTCACTACTGTTGGCACACTTGAGTCCACTGATGCTGCCACCTGGCCAATCCATCTCGTTGGGGGACTTCCTCTTTTTCTCTAACCCTCCACCTTACCAAACATGATGTCCTTCTCCAGTGACTGGTCCCTCTTGACAATATGTCCGAAGTATAGGAGACCGAAGTTTGGCTATCTTGGCCTCCAAGGAGCACTCTGGCTGCACTTCATCCAAAACGGATCTATTGGTTCTTTTGGCAGCCCATGGCACTTTCAGTATTCTCCTCCAACACCATGACTCAAAAGCATCAATTCTTTTATGGCCTTCCTTATTCACTGTCCAGCTTTTGCATGCATATGAGGTTATTGAAAATACCATGACTTGGGTCAGGCACACCTTAGTCCTCAAGCTGACATCTTTGCTCTTCAACACTTTAAAAAGTTCTTGTGCAGCAGATTTGCCTAATGCAATATGGCATTCGATTTCTTGACTGCTGCTTCCGTGAGTGTTGATAGTTGATCCAAGTAGAATGAAGTCCTTGACAACTTCAACCTTTTCTCCGGTGACATTGATTGGTTCCAGTTCACAGCTATCCTATACACAACAGAACAAAACACTGCCTGGTCCTGCACCATCCTCACAATTGTTACACTTGAATCCGGTGCTGCTGTCATTGTGCTAATCCATCTCTCTGGGGGTTTTCTTCTCCTTCATTGATCCTTCACTTTACCAAGCATGATGTCCTTCTTCAGGTACTGGTCCCTCCTGATAAAATGTCTGAAGTATGAGATACCAACTTTTGCTATCCTGGCTTCTAAGGAGTATTCTGGCTGTACTTCTTCCAACACAGATTTGTTTGTTCTTCTGGCAGTTCATGGTAGTTGCAATACCATAACTCAATTGCATCCATTCTTCTTTGATCTTCCTTATTTGTTATCAGTCTGAGAAGCTGGATTAGATGAAGATGAATGTAGCATCAGGACTGTAGGAAGACTTATTAACAACCTGCCATATGCAAATGATACTACCTTGCTTGCTGGAAGCAAAGAGGATTTGAAATACTTCCTGATGGAGATCAAAGATCACAGCCTTCTATCTAGATTGCACTTCAATATAGAGAAAATGAAAATAGCACAATTGGACCAATGTATATAACATCATGATAAACTGAGAAAAGATTGAAGTTGTCAAGTTATTTCATTTTGTTTGAATCCACAATCAATACTCATGGAAGCAACAGACATGAAATCAAATGACGTATTGCGTTAGGCAAATCTGCTGCACAAGACCTCTTTAAAATATTCAAGAGCAAACATAATCATTTTGAGGTACACCCGACCCAAGCCATGGATGGAGTCCTAGTGTGACACTGAAGAATAAGTACTTGACACAAGGTTGGTTTGAATCCCAAGCTCAATGGTTCAAACCCACCAAAAGTCCTTGGAAACTCTATACAGGTTGCCATGAGTTGGAACTGACTTGATGGCACTTAACAACAACAGATTGATTAAGTGTGGTGAAAGGATACAATTCTGGCATACACCTTTCCTGATTTTAAAGCACTCAGTATCTCCCCTTGTCTGCCAAATGACTGCTTCTTGGTTTCTGTACAGGTTCCTACCTCATGAACACAATTAAGTGTTCTATAGATTGTCAGGATACACACAGTTGAAGGCCTTTGCATAATCAATAAAGCACAAGTAAACATCTTTCTGGTATTCTTTGGTTTCAGCCAAGCTTCATCTGACACCAGCAATGATATCTCTCATTCCATGTCCTCTTCTGAATCCAGCTTGAATTTCTGGAAGTTCTCTGTCAAGTTACTGTTGCAACCATTTTTGAAACATTTTCAGCAAAATTTTACTTGCATATAATAGTAATGATATTGTCCAATGATTTCCACATTCCATTGGGTTACTTCTCTTTGGAATGGGCACAAGTATGGATCTCTTAGTATCAGTTGGCCAGGTAGCTATCTTCCAAATTTCTTGGCATAGATGAATGAACACCTCCAGTCCTTCAGCAGTTTGTTGAAGGATTTCAATTCAATTCCATCAATTCCTGGAGCCTTGTTTATTACTAATGCCTTCAGTGCAGTTTGGGTTTCTTCCATCAGTACCAGCGGCTCTTGTTAATATGCTATCTCTTGAAATGGTTAAACATCGGCCATTTTTTTATGGTGAATCTGTGTATACCTTCCATTTTCTTTAGATGCTTTCTGCATTATCCAATATTTTGCCCATAGAATTCTTTAACATTCTAAGTCAGAGTTTGTATTTTTACCTCAGTTCTTTCAACTTGAAAAATGCTGAGCTTATTCTTCCCTTTTGGTTTTCTAACTCCAGGTCTTTGAACATTTCTTTATTAATACTTGACTTTGTCTTTTGGAATTGCCCTTTTAAATTTTTTGTTCAGCTCTTTACTTCAATTTTACAGGCTTTTTAGAATCTCTTTGATGGAGAGAAAGTTGTAGAGTCTCTTATGACATCCATTTTGGTTTTTTTTTTTCTTTCCTGTCTTCTTTAATGACCTTTTGCTTTCTTCCTGCATGATGTTCTTGCTGTCATCCACAGCTCTTCTGGTCTTTGGTCATTAGTGTCTAATGCCTCAAATCTGTTCCTGAGATCATATCTAAATTCAAGTGTGATACACGCAAGATCACATTTTGGCTCTCATAAACTTGTGTTAGTAATTTTCAGTTTCATACTAAACTTTCATATCAGCAATTGATGATCTGCTTCACCGCCCCTGGCTTTTTTTTTTTTCTGCCTTGATATTGATACTGAGCTTTTCAACCAGCTCTTCCCATGGATGTAACAGATATAATATGCAGTCAATTTAATTCTTGTGTGTTCCATCTGATGGGGTCCATGTGTATAATTGCCTTTTATGATATTTAAAAAGGTATTTGCAATGACTATGCCATTGGTCTTGCAAAATTCTATCATGCAATCTCCAGCATAATTTCTATCACCAAGGCCGTATTTTCCAATTACAGATCCTTCCTCTTTGTTTCCAGCCTTTACATTCCAATCACCAGTAATTATCAATACGTATTATTTGCATGTTTGATCAACTTCAAACTGAAGAAGTTGGTAGAATTCAGTTTCATCATCATTGATTTTAGTGGTTCATGCATAAATTTGAATAATAGTGGTATTAACTGATTTTCCTTGTAGGTTTGTGGATATTATCCTATCACAAACAACACTGTACTTCAAGACAGTTCTTGAGTTGCTCTTTCTGGCAATAAATGCTTTGTTATTCCTCTTGAATTTATCATTCCTGACTTAGTAAACCATATGATTGTCATATTAAATATGGCCAATAACAGTCCATTTCAGCTCACTAATAGAGTCCTGGCATGGTGCTGTGGTTTAATGCTCATGACTGCAAGGTTGGTTTGAATACAAGATTGGCAGTTCAAGTTCACCAGCTGCTCCTTGGAAATCCTATACAGGGTTTCTATGAGTTGGAACTGACCCAACAGCATTTAAAAACAATAATGCGTAGGATATCGATCTTTTTGCATTCCATTTAATTTTTGACAGCTTCCAATTTTCCTAG